GGGCAGGGGAGTGGGGAACCCACCGAGTTGGCCCACGTAGCCGGCCCAGTAGGGGTTGGAGCGGAGCAGATTTTGGACGGCGGCCAGGTTTCCGGCCTCGTTCAGCAGTTCCATACCCGTCGTCGCTTGTCGCTTCCATTTCGTCCTGAAAGCAAGTCAATTAAACCTCAACCTCCAACTCAGCTCGCCCCCAGACCCAGTCATTTTACACACACTCACTCAATTCGCGAGACAAATCTCATCTCGCCCTACTTAACGCGTATAACGCAAACCACTATCAAAGCTATACAGACATATAAATTCACACACTGTGCGGTCATACCGTAGCCACCAGATGGTGGCGCATCACCCCTAAAACAACACACGCGATACTTTGTGCTAATAATAGGCGATGGAATAATAGAACGCGGGCCGCTAATTTAATCATCTGTATTAGAGCGACAGGGCCGCGGAATGCGTTTTGATGTCGTTTGAGAATATTAGAGACACACACGAGATCCTATAGAGCTTATTGAGGCAAGTAAAAGGTTGAATAGATGATTAATAGGGGGTACCGTAGTGCAAAATTTTCGTGCACGAGATATTATAGGACGTTCAAGAAGCGAATTATTTTGCCATCAAGGAGTTAGAGTAAATGAACAAGAAAGCATCTTGCGAATAAATGCGACCAAGCTGAGAAAAAAACCAACCTTCGATTTTGATACCAGGTTTTCACTTGTGTATCCGTTAATCCCATACGTTGTGCCAAATCCATACGATCCTGTACGCTGAGATATTTTTGCTTCTCAAATGTTGATTCGAGTTCTTGTAATTGTTTATCGGTGAAAATCGTTCTGGCTTTTCGGGCTTTCTTCGATCCAAGGGGGCTGGTGTCGTTTGGGCTACTTCGTACTTGTGAGCAGCCAGATTCTGGAGTTTCTGGGCGCGACGTTGTGGAATGTTCTGGAATCGAGAAATTGTGAGAATTTTGGTGGAACCATGCCCTAAGCCTATGAATAAGATTAAGATGGTCCGTTGCATAGATTAGAGTTAATTAGACAGGTACAGATGACGTTGTCAAACATGACCCTAACACTAGGGGATTGTTCTATTTAACCCGTAAACACCATCATTTTCCACTCGAATTCTTGCAAATTGCTCAAAATCGCCCCGTTTGTATTGTACGTAACATGGCTGGATGAGTTCCGAGATTGACAGGTGGTACGGTCTGGTTCACTGAGCGACGGGGATCATCGCGAATATTATATCAGTGAGCTGACTTCGGGTGACTAAGTGAGTTTGGTGCAATGCGAGGTG